CACGGAGGAGAGACTGCTACCACCAAAACAGCTCTCCTAATGTCTGAAAGAAGCTCCTTAATGAAGGGAGAAGCGCTCCCGGTGATTTTCTACATCTGCGATAGACACGAAGCAGCGCATCTGACCCCGGAAGTTGTTGTCCGTTGCCGGGAGACGAAGGCGGGCAAAACAGGAAAATAATCTAGTAGTGGACGGACGTTGTTCCGGGTCTTCGGTATTTGGCGGAGATGTTAGTGAAGGCGGAGAAGAGGGCGAACTAGAGGAACAACAGGCAGATTCTTCCTCTATTTACAAACTCCTGGGGATGCAACAAGTGGGCGCGGTGCGTCGACTTCCGGATCTGACGTCGACAAATTTTTAGAATCGAGCCGTCGACTTTGTCGAGGCTTCGCTACAGCCCTAGAGATCAGACATACATACATAGACACATGACAAGAATTGGTGACTGTGGTCATTCGCAACCCGAGTCGCGCTACCGTAATAGATCAAGAGGGTTTATATGAGGATAGAGTAAGGGGGAGGGGAAAAAATTGTCTTTTGAGATCTAATTTACCAGGACTGTTAAATTACAAGCAGAGCCGGACCGCTGCGACTGGGAGCCCTGGCCTCAGATCAGTTGGAGATCCCCGGGACCTGCCCTTTCCTTCCGAAGTATTCCCTAAGGTTTTTAAAGATACGGTTGCACACAACCAATATAAAAAAAGCCTAGTGTTGCGCTCCCAACCGGAGGATTTGCTCACTTTCTGGTACCAGCCCCTAGCAAATGAGGGTGGAACTATTAGCCACATCCTTTTTGGCTTCAAAAAACAGAGACCATAATGGCCCCTTGATTTGAGTAGAGTTTACACTGGATTATGTTGTCAACCCGTTAGTGTTGTCAAAAAAATCTATACCTAGATATAAATCGATGCTAAAAGTGGTATCTAAATTAGATATTCCATCCCTGTGTTATCGATATTATGGACTATTATACACAGCCTTCTTCAAGTACACCGACACGCACGACAGCCAGATGCCGTAAAGCAGCCTCTGCCTCCCAGACAAGCAGAAGAAGAAGATGCCGCATGGCTACATTGCAATTTCCCACGCGAGTTGTCTCCGATCCAAGTTTTGTCTGCCAAATAAATAAAAAAACCATAAATAGCGAATTTGGGAGGCGCTTCATAGCCCAACTTAATTAGCATACCAAGTCCGACACGTAGTTGTATATTTGCGCATATATGCTTAAAGGAAAAGTCCCGTTTATTGCAACCCGGACTTAATTTCTAACGTGCAGTACGTTTGTTTACTCAAGTTGACAACTTTGGTGCTACTTGGATTCCCCGGGGTATTTAGATCCATCGGCGAATCGCCATCAGTGTATATCCATATAACGGGTGTGGACGGGCACCCATGATGCAGCCTCGAAATAAGACATTGTCTGCACCAAAACATCTTCATGTCGAAAGGTTTTGTTAGGAATCATTAATGTGATTCCCCTGTTTGTTTGGAGCGAGTCTGGGATTTCTAGGCGTGAACAGACTAGCCGCGGCTAATCTAACCGGCGCTTTTAATGACGTCACTGCCGTGCGCCAATCTGTTTTTATTAAGATTAGATGTACCTTTGTCCTACTGTGGAGAAATTCGTTTTCTCCCTTTATTGACCAACAGAGTTGTTCAAAAGTACAGAACAAAACATATGGCATTACATCTTATGACAAAAAAGCACCTTAAACAGAGTTTAATCAGCAAAATATCACTCTGCAAATAGTGTATATGTAGTGAGACAATACATGATTTAAAGTGTTAACTTTCGCCAGTTTTTGTATGCACTTTAAAAAAATGCTAATACTTGAAAGGTTTAAGCACTTTATACACTTAATTCTTAACATTTAATTTTTGCAATATAAATTGAGGAATGTTATTTTTTGAATAAACTTGTTCAATAAATTGGTGTTTTTAAATAGTATTGAAATCGAGTATCAAGTTTTTTTTTCCAGTATCGAATCGAGTTTGAAATTTTAGTATCGTGACAACCCTACAACCCTTACATAATAAAGTAAATATGCCACCATTACATTGTAAATGTTTTTAGCATTTCCAGTGGGTTACTGCTGTACATGTTAATGAAATAATTCAGTTCTACTGATCATATGTGACATTATTTAGATATGTTTAGACTAGATTGAATAATATTAAATCAATCATTTTAATGAAATCTAAGTCAAATTTTGTTCCATAAAATATTTATTAACTAAAAATTTCAGCTGGGAAAGAGGGAGCTTGACAACACCAATTTAATACATATTGTTGATCCTTTTATCAGTTTGTTTTATTTTCATATTTTTAGCAGCAGATCAGTCTTGTTTCTCTTGAAACATTGTCAAATAAAATATTCGATTAATTGATGGAGGATTCGATGGAATATTCTGATACTAAATTATTTGATAGCTGCAGCCCTAAATTCCACAGTCACTGAAAGTGCGATCTCCCATGGTCTTGAGTAGGGCTGAACGATTTTGGAAAATCTAATTGCGATTATTTTTTTTTTTTTCAGTATTGCAAATGTGATTATTTTCTCAAGTGACTTTTCTAATTTTTCAACTAACGGAAGCAACAAAAAAAATGCAACTTGTTCTGAATATAAACAAGTTTATGTATCCAGTATCCACATATACATAAACGCTTACAAGTTAAGAAAAAAATTTTGTATTTGAAGGTGCAATGTTTTGCAGCCAGGAGCACATTCATTGAAGGAGTATAGACTAAATCAGAATCTGTTTTTCTCTTCAGAAGCACCATAGCGCTCCCTGCAGCTGGCGTTCTAACTCACCTACAGAATGGTGTCGGCTGATAATTTGCCTTTTTTTTCTCTCTTTAACCCTCTCAAGGCAGGCGTTGCAGATTTGCAGCAGTCACAAACTACCTACCTGGTTACTCCACATATACACTGCTCACAAGAATTAAAGGAACACTTTTTTATTGGGCCTGGCATGAATCAATTAAACCTGTCTGATCATTTCCTGGTTGATTAAGCAGCTGAGGGCATTGCTAATCACTTTCAGCTGTATTGATGTTCATGGGCTTGACGACAGGTACACTAAAGTGGCAACAATTACAAAACCCTCAAAACAGGACTGGTTTATCATGTAGAGGTCGTTTCAAGTTTCTCCCTCTTGATCTTTTTCGGCTGGTTTTCCACTCGTGCTAGTTTTGGCTCTCTCCTGGCAGTATGAGGCGATTCCTTAACCCTACAGAAGTTGCACAGGTGTTCCAACTTCTCCAGGATGGCACATCCACACATGCTGCAGCAAGAAGGTTTAATGTGTCTCCCAGCACAATCTCCAGAACATGGAGGAGATTTCAGGAGACTGGCGGTTATTCTCGGAGAGCTGGACAGGGCCGAAGAAGGTCCGCAACCCATCAGCAGGACCAATTACCTGCTCCTTTATGCAAGGCGGAACAGGCTGAGCACTGCTCGTGCCCTACAGAATGACCTCCAGAGGGCCACTGGTGTGAATGTCTCTACCCAAACAATCGAGAACAGACTTCATGAAGATGGCCTGATGGCCCGACGTCCTGTAGTGGGCCCTGTGCTCACTGCCCAGCACCGTAGAGCTCGACTGGCATTTGCTCAAGAACACCAGAATTGGCAAATCCGCCACTGGCGCCCTGTACTTTTTACAGACAAGAGCAGGTTCACCCTGAGCACCTGTGATAGACATGAAAGAGTCTGGAGAAGACAAGAAAAACGTTATGCTGCCTGCAACGTCGTTCAACATGACAGGTTTTGGTGGTGGGTCAGTGATGGTCTGGGGAGGCGTATCCATGGAGGGACGCACAGACCTCTACTGCCTAGGAAATGGTGCTCTGACTGCCATAAGGTATGGAGACGAAATCCTTGAACCCTTTGTCAGACCCTATGCTGATGCAGTAGGTCCTGGTTTTCTCCTAATGCACGACAAAGCCCGGCCTCATGTGGCAAGAGTATGCAGGCAGTACCTGGAGGATGAAGGAATTAAAATAATTGAATGGCCTTCACGATCCCCTGACTTAAACGCAATAGAACATCTGTGGGACATTATGTTTCGGTCCATTAGGCGGCACCAGGTTGCTCCTCAGACTGTTCAAGAGCTCAGGGATGCCCTCACACAGATCTGGGAGGAAATGCCACAAGACACCATCCGTTGTCTCATTAGGAGCATGCCCCGACGTTGTCAAGCATGCACACAAGCTCGTGGCGGCCACAAGATACCGAAAGGCAATTTGAGTTGCAGAAATTATGTTTTTGAAATAATGGACTAGCCTGCCATATCTTCGTTTCACTCCGATTTTAGGGTGTCTACACAATTCAGACCTCTGTAGGCTGATAACTTTTATTTCCATTAAAAGACTTGGCATCCTTTTGTTCCTAAGACATTGCCCTGTTATTTGTATTTGTATTTTTATTTTTGTTTTTAGATATATTTATATTTGGTCATCTATACTTATCTATTTAGTAAGCTTTTGCTTTTAGCATGACTCTAATATTTTGCTTTTACTGTATTATACCTTGTTCTTTTTTCTATTGTATTATGCTGCTGAGAGACCGCTGCTCGTCAAACTCATTTCATTGCAATGTTGACCCTGTGCTAACTTGCATATGACAAATAAACTAAACTAAACTAGATATCCAACTTCATATTGAGATCTGATGTATCTAATGTGTTTCTTTAAAGTGTTCCTTTAATTTTTGTGAGCAGTGTAGATTTCATGAGCATTTTTTTTTCTCAGAAGTACCCCTGAAGGGCTTTATTTGTCCTGTTACCAAAACTTAATTTGAGCCTGAGATGTAACCTAGAAGCCCCTGTTAGTTTTTTGTTTTTCTTGAAAATAATTTGGACACTTTTAGTTTATAGATTTTAAAACACTGTTAAAAATTAAACCCACTAGTTTATTTTTGAAAATTGGCACAGATGTAAGAATAATGAAATAATTGGATCGTTTAGTTTTGTTGACATTGACGGCTCTGTTTGTTGCAGCTACAGGAGAGGGTGAAGAGGAAGCTGGACAGTGCTGGTTCTCCTCCAGGGGTAGATCCAGTCAACGGTTTCAACGATGGCTTCCCTCCCAGCAAAAAAGCCTCTCTGGACAATGGCACGGCCAATGGCTCCCCGCTGGACTCCAAATTGGTGATCAATGACTCACTGAACCTGAACGGGGCCCACAGGCCCTCTGGGGAACCGATGGATGGTAGCGGGGAGCCCGATTTTCCCTGGAAGGAGCTGAAACAGGAGCCGGAGGACATCTTACCCATCATGCCTCAGTTTGAAGTTGGGAACAATAACCTATTCCCAGACCTGAACCTGAATGAGCAGGACTGGAAGGAGTTGATGGAGGACTTCAAACGCTCTTTGCCTATTGAGGACATCCAGAAAATTTTAGAAGAAAGCTTAGAGGACCGTAAAGATCCTCTGGAACTGGCACTGGCTTCAGGTGGAGCTGGGGCAGTGGTTGGGGGAGCTGGAGGATTGGCAGGAGGTGGAGGCCAGTCGTCTCAGAGTCTTCTTCCAGACTTGACCAGTGTCAAAGCAGAGTTCTCCCCAGCCTCTGCTGTTTTTGAGCAGGATCCTCGCACCAGCTCCCCCCTTGTTAGGTCCACCTCCTCTGGTCCACCTCCCCACCCGACCAGCTCCCCTGTGGCTTCCTCTTCTGCTTCCTCTCCAGTTGTGCAACCATCCCCATTAGCTCCTCCTTCTAGGCCACTGCAGCCTCCACTGAACCACCTCATGCCTCCGGGTCCCCTGGTGACCAAAGACGTATCCCGGGCGCAGCAGCTGAAACAGATGGCAGCCCAGAACCAGAGAGCCCAGCAGCACAAACAGCCCCAGATGGGGACCAAGTTCCACAACCCCCCTCCCTGGCCCCAGATGTCCAACAGCTCCCAGAGCCCCTCCCTGTATCCTCCTGACTTCACTTCTAACTCCTCAAAGCAGTTGCTGATGCCCTCTCAGCCCAACAAAGGCTCGCCGAAGTCTGGCGCAGGCAGCTGCATGCAGGGGTCTACCGGGCACCCCAACATGCTTGGTTCCCTGACCTCAGGACACCCACTTAGCCACCCCTCAGGACAAGGTACTCAGGTGTCCCTGAACTTCCACAACACTAGACCTCTGTCGCACTACGAGGCAGGACCGGGTCCACCGAGAGCCCCCAACGCTCAGAACCAAGACAAGACCCTCGGTCTGGTGCGCCCACAGCAACCACAATCCAAACCCAACGGTATAAACTTCCTTCAGCACATACCACACTCACAGGTATGTACACACACACACACACACACACACACACACACACACACACACACACACACACACACACACACACACACACACACACAGAGGTTAGGCTTTGTTCTACAGTCTCACGCTATAATCTGTCCTAGGCCATATTTAGGCAGACTGATCAACTGTTTAGAGATAATCAGGAGTTCAGCTATTTGAGAGAAGATATACTTGGATATTGAATATTTATCCCTTGTACTAAAAATCCCCCAATAAGTTTTAAAGATGACTTTTTCTCCTTCTACGAGTGTTGCTGTGTAGTCAGGAGACTTCTGATATCTTTATTCTGATTGAATAAGCACAGCTGCCAGTCAGTCAGTTTACAGGTGAGAGAAGTATTTGTCTAAAGGTGATTAAATTTTTCTTTCTCTTTTTTTTTTGTTTTGTTACAGGACCAGAACACCTACCCTGCCCCTCCACACGGCACAGGCCCTGTCAACACCATGACGCCTGGGCCCAATAACATGGTGGCGCCGCAGGGAGTGAACGCCTTGTCCATTAAACGTAATAACGCTGTGTACTCAAACAAACAGGCAGCAATGGCAGCAGCACTGAAGCAGCAGCAGCATCAAATGTTGGAGCAGCAGTATGTGCAGAGGCAGCTCATGGCTGAACAGGTGAGACTCACCTGTGATTCCACTTTGTGCTTACTGTGAGGTTTCTGAGCTGACTTTTAACCTCAGACACCAGGGGGAGCTGGCCCTCATTGGAGATCTGACCAGAGTGTCTGCTGAGGCAGCTGGAGCCATCAGAAGCTTGTTCACGTTTCCCATCATGCCACGTTTTTTTTCCCCTTATCCACCCAAGCAGCAATCCTTCTTTTATGGTTGCTTGTGGTTCTTTTTTAACTCAAGTTTCTCTGTTCTAAGATGTTTTTTGTAGTTTATTGGTGTGCTGTAAATCATTCATGATCCTGACTCATGAACCCTTTACAGGAGAAGCAGCGTCAACAGGAGCAGCAGCAACAGCAGCTGCAGCGACACCTGACCCGACCTCCCCCACAGTACCAGGACCAGCCAGGACCACCAGCCAATCAGAATCCTTTTCCACAGCAGCCAGTCAGTCAGTTTACAGGTGAGAAAAAGTTTTCATGCTTGTGTGTTTAGTGAGAACATGCCAGAGTATCTCTTATAATTGGATATGGAGCTGCAGGAATAAATGTTCTATCCTGCTTGGAGATTTTCCGCATCAGCCTAACATACCAGAGGACGGTGTAGACTAAGGCTGGGTGGTAAAGCGAAAATTTACCGTTACGCAAATGTATAACTCTTACCAACGTCATTTATTTATAAATGTGAGTCAGTTGCTGATGTCCATGTCCCTTTTAAGAAGCTGCGACACAGACCAGTGGGGTACACGTCACAGCCAGTCACATAGTCATGTGACTCCAACCCATCGAGTCTGTAACAAGAAAAGCAAAATGAGGAAATGGAGAACGAATTAAATATGGAAGCAGTGGGCTGCTTGCAGCTCATAGTTCTGATTCTCTCAATACTTGTGGACCACGGCTGCTCGTAGCTGCCCAAATCTTATAACAGTTCTCTTCTCAATGACGCTCGCCGCTTGGTCCGCAACACTCTGCAGCCAGCCGCAGTTATTGATGGTCAGCCGAGAGCGTTGATCAGCGGGCTACAACTGACAGATGGTAGGTTTAGTCGTGGAGAAGCTTGTTTCCAAAAACGTGCATCAATCATTTGGTAACAATATGGATTCAGCAAGGTTGATGTGATGAAAACAAGACAATGTAAACTGGGCAGAAAGACTATCACCAAGTCAAGATAACACGTATATCTTCAGTACGTCTGGGTTTTATTTAGAACCTGACTACTGGACAACTCAAATGTGACTTCACCTGATCCATTTCAGTTCTTTTCAAAACCATCTAGTTTGGTGATACATTGTTAAATCTCCATCCATCTGTTTTCCTCCACTTATCCAGGGTCAGGTTGTGGGATCCTTAGTCTATAATTCAATTCAAGTTTATTTGTATAGTGCCAAATCACGAGTCATTTCAAGGCATTTCACAAAATCTTTAAATCATGAGTCATAGGTTAAATATGCTAGTTATTAAAATTATATATATACTTATATATACACTATATATATTCATTATCGAAATCTTGTTGATAATGAATAAAATTACAAAATTGGTGGATTCATAACATATAACCATAAAAATTGGAAACAAAATACATGGGAGCAGGTCTACATCTCTGGGCGATGCCATATTAGGGCTGCCTCACACGAGAGCAAACTGCTGAGCTGACAGTCATTCGAGGCCGCTTGCTCAGCAGATGGCTCGCTGTGTGTGCCTGATTTTCAGTCTTTTCTGCCTGAGGTGAAATTCAAACCGGTTTGAAATTTTTCACCTCACGGGACAGAAACTGGGAATGGAGAAAATGCTTCTTCTTGTTTTGCAAAACATGCATCAACTGGTGGGAGCTGTAAATATTGGTGGGGGACAAATCTGTAAAAGAGGAGAAAAGAAAAACAAAACGGCTACAGAAAGGTGAGGCAATGAGTAAAAACAGGACAGGCACCAAAATTTGGACACATTTTAACTACAGTGACAATTACAAAGCAGTGTGGAATATGTAAAGTGTAAATATTTCAAAACAGGCTCTAATGATTGAATAATTTTTTTATTTTGAAATAATTTTACGCCACAGTTTCCTTCATCATGGCTACTCAACTGATAGGTGACTGGTACTGTTGTATCAGAAGATGTACAGAAAAGATCTTTTCTGTAGCGCCTCAAGATAAAAATCACGAGGCGCGTCACAAAAACAAAAATGTAAAAATATTAAAAAGAATTTAGAAAATGGTTGAAAATATATTTAAAATGAGCAAAAATAGACAGTTGTGATTAAAAAATGTTAAGAAAGAGAGAGAGTGAATAGGAAAGAGGGAAATCAGTGGATCCTGAGGAAGGTGGAATAGGTGGGGAGAGCAGAATAAAGAGAGAGTGGTGAAGAAGGTCATACAAAAGCCAGCTTGAACAAGTGAGTCTTCAGCTGCTTTTTAAAAGAGTCCACTGACTCAGGCTCAGGGGGGAGGAGGTCCAGAGTCTGGGGGCCACAGCAGCAAATGATCTGTCACCTTTGGTCTTTAGCCTGGTGCTGCACAACCAGTAGGCTTTGATCACTGGACCTCAGGGACCTGCTGGGGGTGTAGGGACTAAGAAGATCACCAATGTAAGATGGTGCTTGTCCATGTAAGGCCCTATAGACCAGAACCAGGATCTTGAAATGAATCCTGAAGTTGACTGGCAGCCTGTGAAGCTGGAGGAGAAGCGGGGTGATGTGGGTGTGTTTGGAGGACTTGGTCAGAAGTCGAGCACAGGCGTTCTGAACCACCTGTAGACGGGAGGTTCTGCCCAGACACGTGAAAAGAGAGTTACAGTAGTCTAAGCGTGAGGAGATGAAGGTGTGGATAACTGTCTCAAGTTCAGAGCGGGACAGAATGGGACTCAGCTTAGCAACGTTCCTGAGATGGAAGAAGGAAGAGTGAACAAGAGAACTGACATGAGAATCCAGGGTGAGAGCTGGGTCAAAGGTCACACCAAGATTCCTGACGGAGGGTTTGGTGTGAGAAACAAGCTGACCAAGAGAGTCTCTGACTTTGGGAACCAGCTTGTCTGGGGCACAGATGAGGATCTCAGTCTTATCTTCATTCAGCTGTAGAAAGCTCCAAGCCATCCAGGTTTTGATAGAGTCTAAGCAGGTGTGTAACAGCTGCAGCTTAGACATCTCATGGGGCTTAAAGGAGATGTACAGCTGGATGTCATCTGCATAAAGATGGTAGCAGATTCCTTAGAAGGAGCTCAGGATGTGCTGAAGAGGAAGCAGATTGAGGAGGAAGAGCAGAGGCCCCAGCAAAGAACCTTGTGGGACACCATGGGTAAGAGAGGTGGTGGAGGACCTAAACTTTGAGACGGCCACAGAAAAGGAGCGCTCAGAAAGATAAGAGAACACTCCAGAGCAGATCCTGATAGGCCTACCCAGTCTCTCAGCCTCTCCAGTAGCAGGTGATGGTCAAAAGTGTCAAAGGCTGCAGTCAGGTCCAGCAGGACCAGAACAGATCAGTCCCCTGCATCACTGTGAGTCAGAAGGTCATTAGAGACCCTAAGAAGAGCTGTTTCAGTAGAATGAGCTCTACGAAAACCTGACTGGAAGCTATCATAGATGTTATGTTCATCAAGAGCAGCTGTGAGTTGTTTAGCCACAACCTTTTCCAAGGTGACTGGTACTGTTGTATCAGAAGAAGTACAGAAAAGATCTTTTCTGTAGCGCCTCAAGATAAAAATCACGAGGCGCTTCACAAAAACAAAAATGTAAAAATACTAAAAAGAATTTAGAAAATGGTTGAAAATATATTTAAAATGAGCAAAAATAGACAGTTGTGATTAAAAAATGTTAAGAAAGAGAGAGAGTGAATAGGAAAGAGGGAAATCAGTGGATCCCGAGGAAGGTGGAATAGGTGGGGAGAGCAGAATAGAGAGAGGGTGGTTGAAGAAGGTCATACAAAAGCCAGCTTGAACAAGTGAGTCTTCAGATGCTTTTTAAAGGAGACCACTGAGTCCACTGATCTCAGGCTCAGGGGGAGAGAGTTCCAGAGTCTGGGGACCACAGCAGCAAATGATCTGTCACCTTTGGTCTTTAGCCTGGTGCGCTGCACAACCAGTAGGCTTTGATCACTGGACCTCAGGGACCTGCTGGGGGTGTAGGGACTAAGAAGATCACCAATGTAAGATGGTGCTTGTTGTCCATGTAAGGCCCTATAGACCAGAACCAGGATCTTGAAATGAACCCTGAAGTTGACTGGTAGCCAATGAAGCTGGAGGAGAAGCGGGGTGATGTGGGTGTGTTTGGAGGACTTGGTCAGAAGCCGAGCACAGGCATTCTGAACCACCTGTAGACGGTTCAGGGAGGTTCTGCTCAGACACGTGAAAAGAGAGTTACAGTAGTCTAAGCGTGAGGAGATGAAGGTGTGGATAACTGTCTCAAGTTCATGGCGGGACAGAATGGGACTCAGCTTAGCAATGTTCCTGAGATGGAAGAAGGAAGAGCGAACAAGAGAACTGACATGAGAATCCAGGGTGAGAGCTGGGTCAAAGGTCACGCCAAGATTCCTGACAGAAGGTTTGGTGTGAGAAACAAGCTGACCAAGAGAGTCTCTGACTTTGGGAACCAGCTTGTCTGGGGAACAGATGAGGATCTCAGTCTTATCTTCATTCAGCTGTAGAAAGCTCCCAGCCATCCAGGTTTTGATAGAGTCTAAGCAGGTGTGTAACAGCTGCAGCTTAGACATCTCATGGGGCTTAAAGGAGATGTACAGCTGGATGTCATCTGCATAAAGATGGTAGGAGATTCCTTTGAAGGAGCTCAGGATGTGCTGAAGAGGAAGCCGATTGAGGAGGAAGAGCAGAGGCCCCAGCACAGAACCTTGTGGGACACCATGGGTAAGAGAGGTGGTGGAGGACCTAAACTTGGAGACGGCCACAGAAAAGGAGCGCTCAGAAAGATAAGAGAACACTCCAGAGCAGATCCTGATAGGCCTACCCAGTCTCTGAACCTCTCCAGTAGCAGGTGAGGGTCAACAGTGTCAAAGGCTGCAGTCAGGTCCAGCAGGACCAGAACAGAACAGTCCCCTGCATCACTGTGAGTCAGAAGGTCATTAGAGACCCTAAGAAGAGCAGTTTCAGTAGAATGAGCTCTACGAAAACCTGACTGGAAGCTATCATAGATGTTGTGTTCATCTGCAGCAGTGAGTCGTTTAGCCACAACCTTTTCCAAGATCTTGGAGATGAACAGAAGTTTAGAGATGAGTCTGAAGCTGCTATGGAGAGAGGGGTCAAGAATTGTTTTTTAAGAAGCGGGTGGATTACAGTATTCTTAAAGTAAGCATGGACCTGACCAGAGACCAGAGAAGTATTAATTATAGAGAGCACACTGGGACCGATGGACTGAAAAGCACTTTTAAACAAAGATGAGGGTAAGATGTTGAGGGTGCATGCAGAGGTCTTCATAGAGTTAACTAGTTTGGTTAACTCAGCTTTGCTCCTGTTTCTTTGCCTATCTAGGATGATGGGCCTAGTTGGAGTCGGGAGAGGCAGCGATTAAGCTGAAGGAGAGATGCTAGATCTAACCTTATTGACTTTGTCCACAAAGAAAGACAGAAAGTTCTCAAAGTCTGCAACAGAGTGGATGGAGGCTGTAGGACAAGCAGGAGAGACGATGACTACGTTTACATGCAGCCAATATCCGGGTTATGGTCGGGTTAAGGTCGGTATTCGGGTTTCTGAGTTGATCAGAATAACCCGTTTACAAGCATAAATAGAAAGAGTTACCCCTAACTTGCATAACCCAATTTAAATGCGGACGTTGGGGGTAGTCTCAGGACGTATGGACTACGTCAAGACGCAATATGCGTCATTTACGGTTCTTCTTGTTCCGGTATCGTGAAAACAACATGTTTCCCAGTTCGGAAGAGATAGCGACCGGGTTTGTTTGCGCTTTAGTTTCCTCGTCACTTCAAAAGTGTGGTGCTGTGCCGCGACTCGCTATGTTGCTCCCAACTTGTTGTTTACTTCCGGTGTTCTGTCGCATACAAGACGTCTCGCTACTCAACAGACCAAGATTCCTTGCAAACAGAGCATGCGCAGAACACACGCTTTGATGGGCAATATCCCAATATGCGTTTACACGACCAAACATTCGGGTTAGAAAAGGGTTACCCCAGGTGTAGTAAGTATTATGAGCAAATCTGAGTTTTTGGCGGTGTTTACATGGACCTGCGGAACCGGGTTGTTGTGAATATTCGGGTTTTAACCCTTTGATGCATAATGGTCACTACAGTGGACAGGTACTCAAAATTGTTATTTATCTATTTTTACTATTAAGCACAGCTGTTGAAGACTTTATTGCATGTGAGCCCCTCCATTTGGACGTCAGTAAGTCAAGCCAACATATTTCATGTTCAGAATGCACGCTGTCCACTGAGGTAGACATGTAATAAATTATTTGTAAATTAAATGTTACAAAAAATATGTAAATATGACATTTGTTTCATTCACACCTAAAGATGGATGAAAAAAAATTATTTAAAAAATCATGGTTGAATATTTCATAATTCATGCATCAAAGGGTTAAAAGGGTTACTGGCTGCATGTAAACGCACTCAGTGCTGCTGATGGTGTTAAACAGCACCTTGGGGTTCCCTTTGCTCTGGGACACCAGGTTGGAGAAATGGGAAACCCTTGCATCTCTGACTGCAGAGTTAAAGGATGTCAGAAGATCCTTTAGGTGCAGCAGATGGACGTGGAGATGGGTTTTCTTCCACAAACGCTCAATTTTTCTGCATTGGCGCTTCAGGCTGTGAAGGCTGTCATTAAACCAGGGAGTAGGGTTCACTGCAGGAACTGATCTGGTTCTGACAGGACAGATGTTGTCCAGAATGGAGAGGCAGTGCTCGTTAAACTGAGAAGTTAAGGAATCTGGGTCGTTATCAGAAGAACAGGGTGGATCAAAAGCAGCAGAAAAATTGCCAGCTGTGCTCTCATTAAGAATACGAGAACTAACCATGAGTTACTAAGCTAAAATAAACAGCTCAAACACAACCAGGTAGTTCCACTGAAATGACATTAAATACGTTCTTATTTACAATTGCAAGATTTTAATTTTGGTGTTTAATCTTCTAAGACTTAACTCCAACAATCTGAAGGGAGCTGCATCTCAGAGCTTCTCCTGAATGAGCTCATTGTTCTCTTACAATGCGTTTCCCTGTAGGACTGGTTTTGTTTGTGACGCGCGCCTCATGGTGGATGTGTAAATGATGCTCACCACTCATTTGACTGGAAAATAAAAGTAGCTGTTCATAGCTCCTCAGTTGTTCTCATGTAACACACACACACACACACACACACACACACACACACACACACACACTCACTCACGGCTGCTTATAAAACATTCACTAATTATGTGAGAAACCGGTTAAGTATTTAACCATCAAACCATTAACTGAGAAACTGGTTTTTATGCATTATTTTTAATATAGTCTTTCACTCTGAGTTTAACATGCAGGGTGAATGTAAAAAAGTAATTTAGCCCTTTTTCCTGAATTAGCCCAAAATAGACGGGGAAAATTCTTAGATTGGAAAATCCAGTGACATTAGCACGTCAAGGTATTAAAATTAACATTCATGGACTTGCCCATCTTGACTCACAACAGGGAAGGATGTTTTATTTCAGCATCCAGAAAGCAGCAGAGAACTTCTGTGCTTTTAGAAGCTAACCTTTAGCATTAGCAGCTCCACCACACAGCAGAACTCCTCCAGACCTGTTATTTGTAGAGTTGCAGAGCAAACAGTCAGTGGTAGAGTTGTGTTGCTGTTAGCCAATCAGGGACAAGATGTCCAAAAATCAGGAAATAAGACTCCAAAACCCGCTGAGTTCTACTCCCCTCTGATTTGGCTCAATTTTCTTTCTTGAAACAGGAACATGAAAGCTTTCCCCCCACAGGGATTGACAATTATTTATACGAGACTACTGCAGATGTGTTGAAGAAACAAGTGAACGTTGTCTTTAACCAGCTAGTAATATTCACCAGGATAACTGGTTTCAGTGTTTAACTGATGTCATGTAAACTTATTTTTGATCGTTTTGGATTTTAAACCTGTTCTGGGTTCTTTTATCATCTAATTGTTGTTTTTCTTTTCAGCGTCCTCTCAGCCAATGAGCAGCGTTGGTTCAATGGGAGGCCCCACCTCTGCATCCCGTATGTTTCCTCAGAACCAGAACATGATTGGAATGAACATGGATCAGGGAGGTGGTCCAGGGGGGGGAGTGGCTCCAACCCCTGCTGTCAGCCAAGCTGACATCGGTCTTCCATCCTGTGGTGGGGGAGGGGCCAGCGCCGATGGTCTGTACAACAACATGAACCTGCACCAGACCCACCCGCCTCAGCAAGTGAGCCTTCAGTGTCAGGCCCTGGGCCCCATAAACGCCTCCTTCAGGCAGAACATCCTGCAGCAGCACCTGAAGCCTCAAGCCAGCACCAACTTGTTAAAGCATTCGCAGCTTTCAGCCCGCATGCCGAATGCCATGCAGGGCAGCTTGGGAGGTAGGATGGGTGGGCCAATGCAGGGAGCTCAGAGTGTCGCCTGGCAACAGCAGCTTTCCAGCCAGACACCTGTCAGTAATGCAGGTGTGCCCCCCAATGCCTTTAGCAACCCCTCCAGCACCTTTCACATGCAGCAGCAACAAGCTCGCATTCCCAAGATGCCCCCTGGCTCCACCCCCTTTGCTTCTAATGCCATTGGACGAGGCATGGCGACACTAAATCCTGGGCAGCAGATGATGCAGACAAGCATGGCTGCTACCCAGCAGAGAGCTCCACCAAACCCTCAGAACCTTGGCCAGTCCATGGCCAATCAGCAGCAGCCTCAGCAGCAACAGGCCAATAAGAACCAGGCCATCCTCTCAGACATGGCTGCCTTTGGACAGCCCCAGACAAATGGGCGCCATGGGCTGCCATGTAACCAAGGTTACCAGGTGAACAGGAGCACTGTGCAGCAGCAGCAGCAAGTGTTTGGTTACAACGTGGCGTCAGGCAGCTTTGCCGCTGAGAGCGACCTGGTGGACTCTCTGCTAAAGAGCCAGAGCACACAGGAGTGGATGGCTGACTTGGATGAGTTGCTCGCCAGCCACCCGTAGGTCCAACACCTAGAACCACTCAACTGGGAGGTTCTAGTTCTGATGGGTCAGGCAGGAAATGAGGCTCTGACTTCCTGTCTGCTGTGAGAAAAGCTGGTGAAGTTTGGTTAAGATTCCAACACAATGACCAAGACACACGGGACAAACTACTACTGACCTTAGATCAGCTAATGGTTGAAACACAAGATGCCATTTAGAAACCTGCTGTTTACTCACTCTCTCACACACACCTGGTAGAGAAGCACTGAGCGCTGAGAGAGCATTTTACCAGTGAGTTTGGACAGTAACATCCTACTGATCAGTGTTTTCGTTATAAACGGGAGCTGACTTTTATTTTAAAAAGTCTGAATATCCAGATTTTGTTACATGCTTTCATTTTTTTTCAGAATCATTAAGTAATTTGAGTTAACCCCAAACTACCAAAGGGTTAATTAGTCCACTCAAACTCATAAAACATTTTACAGTTGGATAAAAGTTGGAGTCAAAAAACATCTAGAAGAAACTCCTTACACTTGTGCTTCAGGTTTTTCTACCAGGAGTGTAGAGTGAGCCTCAGGCTAAAGAGCTGAAGTGTGTTTTAGTTTGTTATGCGCTGCAGCTTTTACAGATCGAGTCGCACTAAGACTACTACTGAACCACTGTCCTCACCCCACAGCACCCATGGAAGCCGGCAGCCGCCCTCTGAGAGCAAACACATGATGTCAGTTTTATTTCTATGAGAGCGTACAGCGGCTTATTAAAGGAGCACGATCGTATCAAGTTAAATCAGCTTTTATCTGCTGTCACAAATACAATGGGTCCATTTTCATACGCTAGGCAAATTTATGGAAACATCAGCAGTAGTTTTTTTTTTTACTCCCAAGGTTTTCACTTTCAGTGAGAAATCTTCAGTTTTCATCTAATCATCTGATGAAAGTCTAAACAATCCTCAACTCCATTTTATGTCTGAAACAAACATGCCGTACTTGAAGCAGCTGAAGGATCCTGAAATGTTTGAGTCTGCCACTAGATGAACGCTCAGCTTGTCGTTGGTTTGGAGGTTGAGATGACAGGATGCTTCAGCGCCACACCGTCTCCAGAGCCTGGACCCAAACACAAGAGTTCTATCTGCAGACGTTTCTGGGACCAAACTATTTGCAGCTGTTTGGGTTTTCCCAGATTTAAATGAAATGTTTTCCGAGTTACTTTTATTTCCTGATTTGATCCAAACCGCTAAAAGGGAACCTAGCTGAGGAAAGTAAATGTATTTTATTCACTACACTAATCTTCGAAACCAAACAGTTTCTCCTTTGGTTTTCGGATTGTTGGTAGCAGTTACAAACTAAAGTTTTACACTTTTCTCTTTCAGCTAAACTCAAACTAAAACTTTAGACTTTATTTAAAAATTGGAGTGAGTAAACTTTTGTCTCTCTTAAGAAATAATTAAGTATGGAAACCAGTTACAGTATGAAGAAAGTTAATGGTGTTCCATGGACACCAAATTAATTGATTTTAAGTGATTTTTACTTTTGAAAGTAATAAAATGTCTCCCTGTGCCTCATTTGGAAAGGCAGCATTGACCTGCTGTCATTGCTCCCATGAACTTGGATCAGAACCTGCACCATGACATCAGATTCCAGTTGATGAATGAAACGTTTACCACGCAGTGCTCTGATTCTCCGGTTGTCCTGCTGTTTTCCTGGTTCCTTTCCTTTGTGCCGGTTTGTGTTTGGGGTTCTGGTTCTGCTGGGCCTGCCGGTGTTTCTGGGTTCTATTGTTGTGAACGGGCTCTTTGTAAATGTTTATAAATATATTTTATGTAAACCTTTCCTAATGTTCTGCAGAAATAGAAGTTATTTTTATATATTGCAGCAGATTTTTGTAAGTATTTTGTACTTTTGATATGTTCTCTGTAAAACAAGAGTATTATGTAAATATAGTTCTTTAGAAACAAACTGTTCTCCTGTGCTTTTGTTAGAACTTCACTCAACAAAATAGCTTCTGTGAAATTAAATGGCAATTAAAAGCAAACTGAAAAATATATTTATGAAACAAACATGAATATTGTCTTAAAATCAAAATTTTGCATTTTTGCAACAGATTCATCTTAATACAAAGTTATTAATGCTAAATATTTGGTGACATTAATTAAAATAAAATGAGATATTACAAGGTAGAAAACAACAAATGGAGCATAAGTAAAAAAAAACATTTAAATGATTGCAAAATTATGCACATTTGTGATAATCTGCTACAGTAGGATGAAGCGTAGGTTGTGCTTGCACCTATAAATTAACACACCTGTAGGATTAGGTTAGGATGTGGGCAAGAGGTCTGTCTATGGGTCGTGGCTAGACTATATTCTATTTTATTTCCATCTTGAAACCAATTTTTTTTTTCTAATGTGAAAACATCGAAGGATGCTTGTAAGTAAAAAAAAACGTGCCAGATGATTGAATAAAAGGTGATTCAGCAGGTTTTCTCACTTCATTATGAAAGTTAAATGTTTATTTTTTTAATCATGAACAGAATCTGAAGCTGTTTAATATTATAGGTAGAACAGTTCCTCGAGTTTTTCATGCAGGCTGAAAATGGTCAGTACACCTATCTCCGGCATTGGCTTCTGATGGAAAGTAACAGTGAAACTTAAGGATTTGAAAATCCGATCTACATTAAAATCACTTATTGTTTGTGGATTCTCCCATCTTGACTTGCAAGGGGAAGGCTGTTGGTTTGGTGTCCAGGAAACGGCAGAGAAAGTCGACTAGTAGAAGCTAGCAATTAGCATTAGCAACTCTACCACACAGCAGAACTCCTCCAGGCTGGTGTTATATGTGGAGAAGCTTAAGTGTTGCAACACAGAGTGAGTGGTTGTCACTTTGCAGTTAGCCAATCAGATGCGACTCAAGCGAGATGTCCAAATATCAAGAAATAAGACTCCAAATCCTTTCATAAGTATCTATGGAGGAACATGCTAACTCTACACAGAAATGTTGCAGCAGGGTTTTGAACCTGCAACCTTCTTGCCGCAACAACAGTTCTACCAACTTCACTACCATGCAGCCAGATCTGTGAAGATTTAATGATTCTTCATCTCAATGCAGGAATTAAATTATCCAACTTCCTGTTTCTGTTATATAAAATCTTGATGCACAAGATTAGTGTCATCACCAGGCCCAGAAGCCTGGTTCTGGGATGGTACTGACTAGGTTCTGCTGTGTAGCGTTGGAAAGGCCATGTAATGCCAAAGGTCATGGTACTGTCCACAGCCATCTTCATCAGTGTGCTTAAAGCTCAACTGTCTGCTTTCCAGACCAGAACACATGATCTGTTTATGTAACACATTCTCACGCTCGAGGCGCCTAAAAATGATGCTGGGTGACCAAGAGTTTGTTTCAGACAAACGCGTTGGGAGACATGCGCTGTGCCAGAGCATCATTTTCTAACTGCCACGGTAAAACAGAGATTTCACTGAATTCTGACCTTTACCCTCTTGTGCATGCAAAACTTTGTTTCTAGTTGTAACTTCCCTCTCCAACACGGTTAACGGGAAGTTTAGAATAAGCAACAGGGTCAAGGTTAGGATGTGGGTGAGGGGAGGGTTAAATGTCAGTGAAATGTGCATTTCACGCGGACGTCGTTAACCAACGCTCTGGCACAGCACGTCGGAAACAAACGCTTGGTCACCCTGCTTCATTTTTTTAATGCTTCGGGTGTGAGAATGTTGGTTTATGACCTCACCATCTGGGGAACCATCATAACAAACTTACCCTTCTCCCTTATCTTGTGCTGCAAGTCACAAGACTCCCAAAAGAAGACAGAACTAACATTTTATGCTATGATTGTCTCACTTTACAGATTAATTACAATCATAGACCAATGAGGCGACGGTGGCACAGGAGTTAAGTGCTCGCCCCGTAGTCAGAAGGTTGCAGGTTCGAGCCCCGCTCAGTCCGTCACTGTCGTTGTGTCCTTGGGCAAGACACTTAACCCACGTTGCCTGCTGGTGGTGGTCGGAGGGACCGGTGGCGCCAGTGCTCGGCAGCCTCGCCTCTGTCAGTGCCCCCCAGGGCTGCTGTGTCTACATCGTAGCTCATCCCCACCAGTGTGTGAATGTGTGTGTGTGAATGGGTGAATGACTGATTGAGTTGTAAAGCGCCTTGGGGGGTTCCAGGACTCTAGAAGGTGCTATATCAAATACAGGCCATTTACCATTTTACCATTTTATCCAAAGTGAATTTAATAAGACTTGATTGCTTGACAGTAAGATGAATCAAAATAACTGTTTGTATCATTTCGGATCTTAATTACACCAAACGAACCTACTTGATGAGTTAATGATGATTTTATTATCAGTCATGTCACATTTTAATATTAGTGTATTAACTATGACAGTTGCATCATATTTAGATCCCACAATAAGTGAAATAATCCTTTACAGGAGTCTTAGCAGCAGATGTGATGTCAGGTGACTTTGTTAATGCCTCCCACATTTTTCTGGATTCTGATTGGCCCAACACGAACCTTAAAAGAGAGAGGCACTTCCCCTGTTTTTGAGTTCCAGCCAAAATGCTAAATGAGCTCCTCTTGTGAGATCCAGCCAGATCTTACAATAGAACCCTTTTTAGCAGCATAGAGCCACCCCTTTTCAAAACCAAACAGCCATTGTGTGTTTTAACCTGCAACAACTTCATTAGACGTAGAAAATCGGTGAGCCGCCAGCAGACACCCAGAGTGTCTCACTGACCAGCTGAGTCATATTCTAAAGGGCCTACGACCTTTGAATGCCCCAGAAGTCTAATCCACTCGTCATCCAAGTCGAGCCGGCTTCGTCTCACCAGCTGGATCTCTGGGAACTCTCACCACGAATGCATAGATTCTGCACACTGGTGTTGGATGGGTTATGATTGAGTGATAACTAACCAAATATCATTAAATTCAACCAGATTATTCTTGTAATCTCAGTCTTCACATCTTTTCCTAAATCACCTAATTAGACTGTAATTACATCCATGGTCATGTTTCATTTGAGTTGAGTAGGGTTTACCTTGAATAATCATTTACCTTCAGTTATTCTGTATGATCGTTAGTCGTAAAAATATAGTACTAAATAGATTTCTATAAACTATATTTTTGCTTCTGTGTTGTGCTGGTTCCCTGGGTACCCAAGGTATTTACTCCCAGAGTCAATCAGATATTAACGGTTAAGCAATATAATGATCCATATTTTTGTGGAACATTATACTTGTTGAATACCTTTCACATTTTATTGAAAGTTTATCGATTGTGAACACTTACAAAACATTACAGCTGCATCCAGGACCACACCTGGTTCCAAGTCCAAACCCAGACTGTGATGATGACCTGCAGTTGGACTCCTTAAGATGTGTTTAAGAACAGGATGAAATCAGACTTGGAACTGGACCGGGTTCTGATTCTGTTTCATCCTGAAATCCAGAACCTGAAACCATCAGCAGCAAAATAAACCTAAAAATAAAAGTGGCAGGCAGCAGTTGTGTTTAGGCCTCACCTTAAGGTGTGTCTTTAGGCTCCGCCTCCGGCAGGTGTTTTCTAGTTCAGCTTACAGCTCTCGGTCAGTCTTCTCTGCTCAGGTGAGCCGGACTGACCTGTCACCCTGCAGTCATGGAAGAGGCGGTCGGCCTGGGCGCTGTCACTGTGCTGGCGGTCCTGGAACAAGGTAGGTGCATGCTGGGAAATCTTGCAGGGAACTTTCTGTAGGTTGGGTCATTTTAGAGCTGATTTTCTGATCCAGAGTCAGAAGGTTCTCTATTCGGTATAACAATAAAGTTTTAAGTATCAGGCATGGCAGAAAAGCAGAAGCTTTGATGCTCCACCTGAGAGTAAATCTGCAAGGCTTGTCACCAGCATTCAGACATCAATTCTGTTTGCTTCACAGCCAGACAGGACACGGGAAAAAACAAAAAGAAAAAAAAAGAAGCTTCTTTATTCTGATGGAGGCTTTGTCTCTAAATGAATCCTATAACAATTTTCTGTTTAAAGCCACATAATACCTGCTGCCTGGTAAGATGAGATGTTGTAGAAGATCTGTCTTAGAAACTGAGTCAGAACTTTCCTTTGTAATAAAAAGTTTGACATCAGCAGAAAGCAAAGCTGCTGCTATACTTTTTATTGTAGAAACTGTTTTTACAGAGGCTTTAGGTCAGGGTGAAATGTAAGTGTTTTCATTTAAATTCAGATGAATCGTTCTCTGTTTTCTGGTTCCAGCGTATTTCTCTCTGCAGGTTATTTACGCCAGGAGGAAGTATTCAGTGTCTCCGCCCACTACCAGCGGGCCACCTGAGTTTGAACGAGTCTTCAGAGCTCAGTTAGTCTTTGTGTGTGTGTGTTCTTGTCCTTACTACATACTGAGGACCATTATGAGGTTTTAACCAACAGCGTGAGGTCATTTTTGCAATCATCACATTTTTAAAATGTTGATCAGTTAGTTTTAGAGGTATAGTGTGAACTCAGTTTTGAAGAAGAAAAGAAGAAAATATAATTTCTATAGCGCCTCTCAAGATAAAAATCACGAGGTGCTTCACAAAAACAAAAAATGTAAATATAAAAAAAAATTTGATAATGGTTGAAAAAATATATTTAAAATGAGCAAAAATAGACAATTGTAATTAAAAAATTGTTAAGAAGGAGAGCGAGTGAATAGGAAAGAGGGAAAACAGTGGATCCTGAGGAAGGTGGAATAGGTGGGGAGAGCAGAATAAAGAGAGAGTGGTGAAGAAGGTCATACAAAAGCCAGCTTGAACAAGTGAGTCTTCAGCTGCTTTATAAAGGAGTCCACTGAGTCCACTGATCTCAGGCTCAGGGGGAGAGAGTTCCAGAGTCTGGGGGCCACAGCAGCAAATGATCTGTCACCTTTGGTCTTTAGCCTGGTGCTGCACAACCAGTAGGATTTGATCACTGGACCTCAGGGACCTGCTGGGGCTGTATGGACTAAGAAGATCACCAATGTAAGATGGTGCTTGTCCATGTAAGGCCCTATAGACCAGAACCAGGATCTTGAAATGAACCCTGAAGTTGACTGGCAGCCAGTGAAGCTGGAGGAGAAGCGGGGTGATGTGGGTGTGTTTGGAGGACTTGGTCAGAAGCCGAGCACAGGCATTCTGAACCACCTGTAGACGGTTCAGGGAGGTTCTGCTCAGACACGTGAAAAGAGAGTTACAGTAGTCTAAGCGTGAGGAGATGAAGGTGTGGATAACTGTCTCAAGTTCAGAGCGGGACAGAATGGGACTCAGCTTAGCAACGTTCCTGAGATGGAAGAAGGAAGAGCGAACAAGAGAACTGACATGAGAATCCAGGGTGAGAGCTGGGTCAAAGGTCACACCAAGATTCCTGACGGAGGGTTTGGTGTGAGAAGCAAGCTGACCAAGAGAGTCTCTGACTTTGGGAACCAGCTTGTCTGGGGCACAGATGAGGATCTCAGTCTTATCCTCATTCAGCTGTAGAAAGCTCCCAGCCATCCAGGTTTTGATAGAGTCTAAGCAGGTGTGTAACAGCTGCAGCTTAGACATCTCATGGGGCTTAAAGGAGATGTACAGCTGGATGTCATCTGCATGAAGATGGTAGGAGATTCCTTTGAAGGAGCTCAGGATGTGCTGAAGAGGAAGCAGATAGAGGAGGAAGAGCAGAGGCCCCAGCACAGAACCTTGTGGGACACCATGGGTAAGAGAGGTGGTGGAGGACCTAAACTTTGCGACGGCCACAGAAAAGGAGCGCTCAGAAAGATAAGAGAACACTCCAGAGCAGATCCTGATAGGCCTACCCAGTCTCTCAGCCTCTCCAGTAGCAGGTGATGGTCAACAGTGTCAAAGGCTGCAGTCAGGTCCAGCAGGACCAGAACAGAACAGTCCCCTGCATCACTGTGAGTCAGAAGGTCATTAGAGACCCTAAGAAGAGCTGTTTCAGTAGAATGAGCTCTACGAAAACCTGACTGGAAGCAATCATAGATGTTATGTTCATCAAGAGCAGCTGTGAGTTATTTAGCCACAACCTTTTCCAAGATCTTGGAGATGAACAGAAGTTTAGAGATGGGTCTGAAGCTGCTATGGAGAGAGGGGTCAAGACTCGGTTTTTTTAAGAAGCGGGTGGATTACAGCATTCTTAAAGTAAGCAGGGACCTGACCAGAAACCAGAGAAGCATTAATTATAGAGAACATGCTGGGACCGATGGACTGAAAAGCACTATTAAACAAAGATGAGGATAAGATGTCGAGGGGGCATGCAGAGGTCTTCTTAGAGTTAACTAGTTTGGTTAACTCAGGCAAAGAAACAGGAGCAAAGCTTTCTAGGATGATTGGCCTGGTTGGAGTCGGGAGAAGCAGCGATAAGGCTGAAGGAGAGATGCTAGATCTAACATTACTGACTTTGTCCACAAAGAAAGACAGAAAGTTCTCACAGTCTGCAACAGAGTGGATGGAGGCTGTAAGAGTGGCAGGAGAGACGATGCTGCTGATGCTGTTAAACAGCACCTTGGGGTTCCCTTTGCTCTGGGACACCAGGTTGGAAAAATAGAAAACCCTAGCATCTCTGACTGCAGAGTTAAAGGATGACAGAAGATCCTTTAGGTGCAGCAGATGGACGTGGAGATGGGTTTTCTTCCACAAACGCTCAATTTTTCGGCATTGGCGCTTCAGGCTGCGAAGGCTGTCATTAAACCAGGGAGTAGGGTTCACTGCAGGAACTGATCTGGTTCTGACAGGACAGATGTTGTCCAGAATGGAGAGGCAGTGCTCGTTAAACGGAGAAGTTAAGGAATCTGGGTCGTTATCAGAAGAACAGGGTGGATCAAAAGCAGCAGAAAAATTGCCAGCTGTGCTCTCATTAAGAAAACGAGAACGAACCACACGGCGAGCAGGAGGTGGGGACGCAGAAACTGACAAGTTAAAGAAAATGCAATGGTGATCAGAAATATAAACATCCTCAGGACAAACACTGTCAGCATTTAGACTCTGGGTAAAAACAAGGTCTAGAGTGTGCCCCCTGGTGTGTGTGGGGCCAGAAACATGCTGGGTAAAACTGAAGGAGTCCATGAGGCTGGAGAAATTCATGGCAAAGTGGTCAGAGGGATCATCAACGTGGATGTTAAAATCACCAACAATCACCAGTCTGGACAGCTTCACAGTGGAGGATAGAAAGTCACGAAACTCCTGAAGGAAAGAACTGTTTGGACCAGGTGGACGATAGACCACAGCACAGTAGAATGGGACCTTATGCCTGACTTTAATCAGCTGCAGTTCAAAGGAAGCAAAGTGACCAGGTTGTAGAGCTACATGGAAGATGGTCTCTGAAAACAACAGCTAGTTCTCCACCATGACCAGAACCCCGGGGCTGGCTAAGAAAAGAATAACCACTCGGGCAGAGTTCAATCAGACCAGAACAATCAGATGTTTGCTGCCAAACTTCAGTCAGAAACAGAAAATCCAGGTTTTTAGAGAGAATTAGATCATTAAGCAGGAAGGACTTATTGTTAACAGAGCAGGTATTTAATAGAGCCATGCTGAGTGAGGTGGAGGAATCAGAAACTACAGAAACAGCTGGAGTTAGTGGATGTAAATTAGCAGGGTTAGATCCACGGTGTTTATAAAAACCACTTATGGAGGGAACAGGAGGAGAAACCACTGAGGAATGAGGATAAACCGACCTTAAAAAACATGGACGGAGAAACCGCGCCGCAATGCGGCCTGGCGGGAATGCGGAAGTGGCTCTCAAGTCGCCAAACAAAGGACAAGAAGCTAGAAGATCACACCAATGTTTACTAGATAAACCACACTTTAAGATAAGTCTTATTCTCACCTGGATTCCTGCTCGTTTACCTCTTTTCCTCCAACGTTTTTCCGGGACTGGATAAACATCGCTGGAGGCGCCCTGGTTGGAATCGTCGTTTGGCTCCGGACCAGTGCACCACTCAGGTAAAAAACAAACAGGGAGGTGCGTCCTTGGTGCATCTTGGGCGATTGTGAACGAACGGAAGGACAAAAGAGTCTGGCGATCATAGGAGATGGTAGAAGGGACACTACTGAAGAGGATCGCAGACAGGAGCAAGGTGGAAAAGAGGAGATTAGTGAAGAAAAGTTTGAAAAAGTGGCCAGTGACTGCGGCTAAGCCAAGCACAGGCACCATCTTGTTACCCACCGGAAGCGGTCCACATTTTTTGGTTAAATTTAGGGTTAGGAATAGGTCAGCATTGGTTATGGTTAGAGTTAAAATGAATGGAAGTCAATGGATGGTCCTCACTAAGATAGGAAGACAAAAGTGTGTGTGTCACTGTATAGAATAGAATAGAATAGACTAGACTAGACTAGAATAGAATAGAATAGAATAGAATTTATTGATCCCACAGTGGGGAAATTCACTTGTTACAGCAGATAGTAAATAGTTTAAATTAATAGTAAATAAATAAATAAATAGTAATAAATAGTAAATGAATAAATAGTGTAATTTGACTCTGAGCATCATTAAAGTGTCCACTTTGAAAAAATAAATTATTACATAACTAAATCAACTGTTTTTGGTTTTCAAGCCTGATGAATAATTAATCAGGTTCTTACATGACCTGCAGTGTTTATCCTGTTTATATAATATATAATGGTATTGGTCAGTAATTACAACCATGTCCATTATTATTATTATTATTATTATTATTATTATTATCATTAGTTGTAGTAGTAGTTATAGTTCTGTGAACATCATCAGTCTGAAGAAACAGATTCATTCTGAACAATCCTATCAGCTAATGGCTAGTCATAGTGGGGTCAAATTACTTAGGCTGTTTTTAAACAGCTCTAATCACAAAACTCTCAGCAGTTCATCTGATGAGTAAAACAACAAGTCTCCTTTTTACAACACAGATACTAAAATCTTGTATTTAAATTCTGGGACTAAAATAGTTCGATCCACAACCTAGAGGATTCGTTAAAAACTGCATCTGCAGTTTGGAAGGAGTCTTTCCATAAAATGTCTTGATTTCTTTAAAACAGAAACCTTCACATTAAACTGTTTATACTACTGACAAACCCTAACCTTGTTACAGTACCTGCTTACATAATAAGATCATTCAGATCATAAAAGACTTCTAAAAGCTTTAAACTCCTAGCATGAATTTAAAATCTCTCTCTTTTGTTTTACTGTGTTTTATATATTTCTGGGTTTCTGTTTAAGCTGAAATGTTTAAAGCCATACTATGCAACTTTTTCATATTTTAAATCATTTTCTTGAGCCAATATGTGCTAAAATGACCCATTACAGGGTTAATGAAAAGTCACTCAGACCCCCACTGCCCTCTGTGGCCAGAATACCTCATTTGCAACTTCAGAGTGCCGGTCCGGTCTGTTGCCTTTAGAAATTATGGAGCTGACATACCTGGATCTGCTGTCTGCTTCCAGCATGTTTCCTGCATGTTTTGGATCATGAACACAACTGATTTATATAATTTAATTATGAATCACTCCTGTAGACACTAACGAAGGCTGAGGAGACATTTCAGCTGTTAGATTAAGGTGTTAAAAAGATGAACGCACAGCGAGGAGATAAGTTTTGTTTTGGCTCTACTAAATGAACACTGGGGTGCTACAAGCAAGCAAAACTGCGAAGTAGGCTTTTAAATAAATTAAAAAAGGTGTTTGTAGTGCCTCCTAGAGGTCACGCCTGGTAACACACCTGATCTGTTTGTATGTGCAGAGCAAACTGTTCAGAGTATTTCCCCATCTTCGTCACGTTGCTGTGGATATCTGGAGTCTTCTTCAACCAAGGTGAGAAATACGCACACCCTTTCTCCAGTCATGAACTTTGTATGATGAGTTGTGTGTGTGTGTGTGTGTGTGTGTGTGTGTGTGTGTGTGTGTGTGTGTGTGTGTGTGTGTGTGTGTGTATGTGTTTAGGGTTGTCAAGTGTCTGTGGTTTGCTGTATCTTTATGGACGACTGCGTTACTTCTGGGGATACTCAGTGTCTGCCAAGGGACGGTAAGAACCACAGAAATGGAACTGGTCCAAATAAAACTGGTCTGATTTTACAAATTCTGATTTATAATGACAATAAAAAAGTTTAAAGTGAATAAAATGAACAAGAACAACTACAAAAACACACTAAATCAAGAAAAATGGAACCAGAACCAATGAATTTAGTCTAAGAGTTTCTACAAGAACTAGTTCAGGAGCTGATGAATGATCAGGAGGTAGAGAGGGTTGTTCAGAAGTCAGAGGGTTCTAGGATCGATCCCAGCTGCTTGCAGGGAATTCTGCTGCTGTGTCGTTGGGCAAGACGCTTAACCCTCCTTAAGTGCTGGTAGTGGTCGGAGGAACTGGTGTTGCCTGTGCTCAACAACCTCACCTCTGTCAGTAAGCCCAGGGATGCTGTGGCTACAATGTAGCTCATCACCACTAAGGTGTGAAAGGATGAATGATAATTCAGACAGGTGCAGGTCATTTATCATCAGATCTATGAAATAATTTTTATGTTGACCTTAAACCTGGGGAGGTCATCGGTCCACTGTTGACCAGAAAGAGATTATTTATACTTCTGACAGCTGATGGTCTAACAGGCATGGACGACTGTAGATTCACCCTGAGGTGAGGCGTCAATAACCCAAGAACTCCATGTCAGACTACAGGACTCCATTAGAAGGTCAAAGGTCACAGGTTACAATGTCAAAGAGAAAGCAGCGGCAGCTCAGTGGTGATTCTAGAGTTGTAGAACCGGTTCTGTTATACTATTTGTTAAAAATCCTTTGGTCTGTCGTCTGTTTCAGTTTGGCTCCTCTCTACTTCAGCTCTCAGATTCTGTGGGTTCTGATCGGGTTCTCCTCCATCGGTGTTCTGTTGATGTTCTCCCAGGTGTACCTGAACGTGGACCTGCTGCAGGAGCTCGGTTCTGCTCTCGGCCTGTCCTGATTCACATGGGAGCGATAAAGGCACTGACTGACAACCAGAAAGTTTTTATTACTTTAGTCTATGTAAAACTTTTTTTTTCTCAGATGGACTCAAATAATGCAGCTTTTCACTAAATTGAGGCCGTAGCATCAACTAAACACTACAGCTCTAGGAACGGGTACATCAGAGGGACGACCAGGAGAAGAAAGCAGGTGTTTAATAAGTTTTCCCTGAAATCTTTGAACCCCCCCCCCTCCCCCCCAGCAATTACATCTGTAGGAAGAATGTTTCACCACAAGGTGGCAGTAGTTCTATGTCCCAGAGAAAAATCATTTCCAGTTAACAAGAGTAAAAACAGATAAAAGAAAACACAGCAATGGATTAGGAAGGACTTTATTTTTTTAAAGAAAGAAAATTTTGGCTTTGTAATAAAAAAAAGATCTAAAACTGATTTTGCTGCTAAAACTAAACTATGTTTGTAACTTTAGGTTTCACTGTAATTTCTGGAACACACACTCTTTAATAAAAGTCACACCCTGGTTGCTTCTGTTCTCATGGTGTTATTTACTTATTGGTTCAACCCAAGGAGAGCCGGTCTGAGGAGGAAACAACAACACATCTGTGGTCTCCAGCAGCGCTTCAGATTTTTACGATTTTATGAAGAGTCTCTAACTGCAGTCATAAGACTTCAGCTCCTCTGAAGCTGTAAAAAACAGCCAGAACACGCCTGTTGGGATGAAAACACATGGATCCTGATCTGTTTAGTCTCCAGTCATCCATCATCTAACAAACTCAGATCCCATTCAGAGCCAACAAACAGAAACTTTTCACTGGCTCTGAAAGTTGTTTTACTCAGAGTTTTATGCTGGAGGTAAGAAGTAGATTTACTCAAATGTTACTCAAACTTTATTACTTTTTATTACAGTAAAAATAGCTGCTTCTGAACATCACTTACAAAACCACTGACTGGTTTTGGGCTTTTATTGTGAAGCAGGAATCAGGAATATTTTATAAGCTTTATAAATAATGTTATATGTCACTATCAGATTGCTGTTTCCAGTCATTGAAATAAATTATTTGATATAAACTGAAAATCCAACTCAAATGTTGGGTTTGTACTTGAGATGAGTGTCAGATGATGTTTGAGGACTCTCAGCCTGTATGGATTTTCTCACGCTGATCTGGAATCTGCTCCACAAAGAGCTGCTCACTATTTATAGAGCAGCTAGTCTGAGTTTATATTAGCAGCCGTAGCTGGCCCGTACAGTACAGCCCTCCGTCAGCCTCCGTCAGCCTGGACATTATCACCCCTCACCCGTCCCACAGACTCCACACAGAATGCGGACATGAGAGTATTTTTAGCAGCTTCGCGTCTCTCTGGCAGACCATAGAACAGCAGTTGGTGTTTTTAGTGTCAGAACAAGTTTCCATCCAACAACAGCTGCTTGACTTTCTTGTGGCTCCTCCTACCCAGAGCTACACTCACTGAAGGCCCTGCCCACAACACTCATGATGGTGATGCTGGTTAGAATAGAATAGAATAGAGTGAAATAGAATAGTTGATTTGTCACTACAGTAACCCACAACTAAATGATTTTACGGCTTTCTTACTTAAACTGCAGTGATACTTTGAGCAAAATTCAACAATGTAATCAATAAAAACAGAGATGAAAACCCATAAAAACGGTTAAAAACAGAGAATAGTGATTTTTAGAAGATACTGCTGTGGGATAGAAGCTGTTCTTCAACCAAGTGTTGTTTGTTTTGAAAGTGTGGGATCTTCTCCTGAATGGCAGGGGGACAAACAGTGAATGTCCTAGGTGAGTGTTGTCATTGCTCACTGTCCTCACACTCCACTGGTCAGCACATACTGTGTTTTGAGGAGCAACATCTTAGTGACATTTTCATCACCCAGATAAGGTCCCTCCTGTCTTCCACAGTGGAGTTCCCAAACCACATGGTGCAGCAGTGGCATAGAATGCTCTCCGTGGGACTATTATCAAAGTTCATGAGCAGCCTAGGTGTCAGACCGCACTTTTTCAGTCTTCCCAGAAAGAAAAACTGTTTACTGACCATGTCAGATCCTCATGGTAAAAACCCTCTGGAACACTGGAGGTCATCCCTTTAAAGGTCAATGGATTCTTCCAAAAGTCCACAATAACCTCCTTGGGTCAAGTGGTGGTTAAAGGAAAAGTTCCCTGAGGAATTATTTTTTACTCTGAGCCGCTCAGAGTTTCACATGCAGGCTAAGTGTGAAAATAGTCTTCTACCCATATTTCCTGCATTAGCCGCCGATAGAAAATAGTTGGGGAAACTCTCGGATTAAAAGTAAGTGAATTGTAAATCATAATGTCAAACTAATGTGGCAAGGTGGATAAACGAGGGCCCGGGCGGGTGATCCATCGGGACATTGTGTCAGGACACTCACACTGCCACACTAACATTCATTGATTCACCCATCTTGGCTTGCGACGGGGACGACTGTTGTTGTTCAGCATCCAGGAGAGAGCAGAGCACATCTTGGCTAGTAGAAGCTAACTGTTAGCATTAGCATCGGCAACCCCACAACATGGCAGAACTCATTCAGGCTTGTGTTATTTGTTTGTGTTATTTTATTTAAAAATAATTTTTGCACCTTAAACTGGCTGTGTGTGGAAAATATGTTTGTGTGCGTAGGTGTGTGTGTGTGAGTGTGTGAAGAAAGGAAAGAAAGAAATCAAGCTTTTATATAGCGCCTCTCAAGATAAAAATCACAAGGTGCTTCACAAAAACAAAAAATGTTTAAATATAAAAAGAGTTAAAGTGAGGGAGGGAGAGAGCGTGTGACTTCTATTTTAGCCTTGTTATTTTATTTTACTTATATTTTACTACCTCCTTACGTGGGCTGTCTTTAATGAGCACTAAGTCAATTTCTTTGCACACCTGTGCAATGACAATAAAAAGATCTTGAATCTATTAGCGGAGATAAAACATCAACATTGCAAAGCAGAGTCAGTATCAGTGGTGTTGCTGTTAGCCAATCAGAGGGGAGATTACTGAATATCAGGAAACAAGACTCCAAGTCCTGTCCTCAGCTCATCTTTACCGTGGCTCAATTCTGGTTCCTGAAACAGGAGCACAAGGGCTTTTTCTTCACAGAGATTGATTCACGAGGCATTCGTTGAAACTAGAGACCATTGCAAATGCAAACCTGAACATGGTTTTAGAACCAAGTTGTTATTTGCATACCAAAGAAGAAGAAAGTTGCAGTTACAGATATTTCACTTCAAGAGCAGCTAAGATACTGCAGTGATACTAAAAAAAAGAACACACACGCCCACCCATTGCTTGTTTATTTATTTTTCCTTGTTGAATCTCTTTCCTTCTCAACTCTTTCCAAGAGGAGACACGTTAAACACGGAACATTATCAAAAGTTACAAGCTAAAAAAATTACATCAAAGTAAACAAATCAAAAAAGTTAACCTCCACATGGCAAATACAAATGCTGTTTAAGGATGGAAACTGGTGAGTCTATGTCTGTAGGAAACTCAAAGATTTGAGGCTTTTAGTTTATACTGACTGGAGCTTCTGCAGAACATTACCATAACCGTTATTTCAGACAAAGGAACCCTACAGCGCATGTCACAGACGCGCTGCCTTCACCAGCTGTGGGAAATTTCAATTAACCACGCAATGAAGGTCCTGCTTTTCGTAAATAAGTGATATTTTATTAAATAAAAATAATTTATTTTAATTATTTCAATTACAACTCTGGTGAGGTTAATGTAAAAACTGTTTATTTTACTTAAAGAAATATAAATGAATTTCAAATTTTTAATGGGTGGCAAAAATCAATTTTGGCAGATATTAAGAAAACACCCCAATTTAAATGAAAATGAGTCAGATCCATGTTTGAGCTCAGATAATATGCTCTACTCAAAAGAAATAAAAGAAATACTTTCATATTCAGTATCAGAAACTGATCTGGTCAGAGGGGGTGGCGCCACAGAATTCTACTGGCATCTGCATAGGCAGGTCTAGCAGGCACTGTTCTTCTCAGATGAGAGCAGGTTCACTTTGTACCACTCATATGGCATCATGTGGAAAAAGTATTCAGGTGGTTCCACATTTGCTTCACCTACATCCAATAATGTTTAGGTCCATCTATACCATCTGTAAACCAATTAGGAGTAGCTCCACTGCTGTCAAACGGGTATATGAGCAAGAGGGGGTCAAAATACTGAGAGTTACTGCAAAGACATTTCAGCCAATGAAAATGTCCTGTATCACCAGTTTTCCAGGTTCAGTTTGTTGATGCGTTTGAATTAAGGCCCTTCTCTAGGTTGATCATTGTACTTAGATATTTTTTCCTAACATAATAATCAATTTATTCCAGTTTGGACAGACATCATACATTTTAATAGTTTATTTCCAACGGAACTAAGATCTTAGACAATTTTTAAGAAACATTCATCTGATTTTCAGCCAAAAACGTGGATTCCGAGTGTCACTGAATGTATCACCGAGAAGCCCCGCCCCATGGCCGGTGGCCTTCGGAGTTTTTTTTTTTTTATTTAGTCAGAGTTTGAAAGTTGGAAACAGAACCGGAGAAGGACCGGCGTGTAGCGGACAGCAGAGATCCGAGGAGGAGGGATGGGCTGCAGCCACAGTAAGGTGAGCAACTCCACCGATAAACCGGGCGAAGAACCGCGTAGAGCTGAGAGAAAGGGACTTTGTTCGGGCCGGAGTTAGCTGGCTGGCAGGCGGCCACCGGAGGCTGCTGAGACCGCTGCGTAGAGATGAGCTCCGGGTCGTGGAGCTCGGAGCTCATTTCACCTCCACATCCCACTTTATGTATCTGGATCAGAACCACGGAGGCAGATGGAGTTATGGGTTTGATTGCATCAGAAAAACAATTAATGCGATTTTTTTTATCCGAACATCTGTTTTCAATCAGTTTGAAAACGAGTTTTCCCACGTTCCCCAAACGGGCCCCAAAGCTTGTTAAACTTCTGACTCATGGACTCACCACACTCAGCAGTAAAACCTCTTAACCACTCGGATGTTCTGTGATAACAATTTTATTTATCACTAATAAGGTTGACTCATATTCTCACACGTTTGGACCATCTCTGGGTTGCCGCGGTCTCCGGGTTCGGGATTTGGCCCAAAGGTATGAGTCCAGGTCCGACTCGGGTCTTCTGTTGTCCAGATGTGTCCTGCAGGTCACATTTGGACCCTGTCTGGAGGATCTGTTGCTGAGCTGATTTAGAACTTTCAAAGTGACCTTTAGTTCTCAGAGGTCAAGTAATGTTTCATTAAAGGAATTTAAAGGTAAGGAACAACAGATGTTTCTGTTTGGACGAACTAAAGTGTTTCTTTAGGTTTTTTTTGGTGTCCGAGCTTCAGGATTTGTGGCTGATTATTTTTTCCTTTCTTGGTGGAAACAAGATGTTTGACAGCTGCTGTCCCCTGGTTATTGATAGAAACTGACTCCATGGTGTCCAACTTGAGGCCCGTGCAGCTGCAGCAGGGATGGACTTTGATGGTTTTATCTGGATCCCTTCTGAAAACTGATGTTTATACCCTGGGATAGAGTTGGGAAAGATGCCATATAGTTTCGATCTTGTAGAAAACCAGATATTGCTTCAAGACAAACTCTGAAACATCTTTGATTTCTACAGTAATTACGGTAGTTATTGTCCTCATGTTTGAGACAAGCTGGTGTGAGATTCCATGCCTGGAGCTTCTCCTAGAGCCTTCCAGGTGGATCCGACATGAGGCGATGTCACTGAAACACATTACCACTTAGCTCAGTTTAATGGATACTACAGTTTTGGTCAGAGGTTTACATACACTTGTAAAAAATATAATATAATGGCTCTACTGAGTGTCCCGTTATTTCTAAAACTCTGATTTTTCTCTGATAGAGTGACTGGAACAGATACTTCTTTGTCACAAAAAACATTCATGAAGTTTGGTTCTTTAATGTCTTTATTATGGGTTAACAGAGAAAAGTGATCACATTTGCTGGGTCACAAATATACATACAGCAACATGAACTAGCAATTTTGGTGACTTAGAAACGTGTCAGTGAACTGAGCTTCATAGCATGGCCTCTTAACTTCTTGTGAGTGATTATGAGTGACTACAGCTGGTGACTTCTCTTAGGCCAGGTAAATAGGGCTCATTGGATACAAACGCCCACAAACTACAATGGGAAAGTCAAAGGAGCTCAGCATGGATCTGAAAAAGTGAATTATTGACTTGAACAAGTCAGGAAAGTCACTTGGGGCCATTTCAAAGCAGCTGCAGGTCCCAAGAGCAACAGTGCAAACAATTGTTTGTAAGTATAAGGTGCATGGCACTGTTTCATCACTTCCAAGATCAGGAAGAAAACGCAAGCTATCACCTGCTGCTGAGAGAAAATTGGTCAGGAGGGTAAAGAGTGAACCAAGAATCACCAAAAAGCAGATCTGCCAAGAATTAGAAGCTGCTGGAACACATGTGTCATTGTCCACAGTCAAACGTGTTTTGCATCTCCATGGACTGAGAGGCTGCCGTGCAAGAAGGAAGCCCTTGCTCCAAAAGCGGCACCTTAAGGCTCGACTGAAGTTTGCTGCTGATCACATGGACAAAGATAAGACCTTCTGGAGGAAAGTTCTGTGGTCAGACGAAACGAAAATCGAGCTTTTTGGCCACAATGCCCAGCAATATGTTTGGAGGAGAAAAGGTGAGGCCTTTAACCCCAAGAACACCATGCCTACAGTCAAGCATGGTGGTGGGAATATTATGCTGTGGGGCTGTTTTGCTGCCAATGGAACTGGTGCTTTACAGAGAGTAAATGGGATAATGAAGAAGGAGGATTACCTTCACATTCTTCAACATAACCTAAAATCATCAGCACGAAGGCTGGGTCTTGGGCGCAGTTGGGTGTTCCAACAGGACAATGACTCCAAACACACATCAAAAGTGGTAAAGGAATGGCTAAATCAGGCTAGAATAAGGGTTTTAGAATGGCCTTCCCAAAGTCCTGACTCAAACCCAATTGAAAACATGTGTACAGTGCTGAAGAAACAAGTCCATGTCAGAAAGCCATCAAATTTAACTGAACTTCACCAATTCTGTCAAGATGAGTGGTCAAAGATTCAACCAGAAGCTTGCCAGAAGCTTGTGGATGGCTACCAAAAGCGCCTGATTGAAGTGAAAATGGCTAAGGGACATGTAACCAAATATTAGCACTGCTGTATGTATATTTGTGACCCAGCAAATGTGATCACTTTTCTCTGTTAACCCATAATAAAGACATTAAAGAACCAAACTTCATGAATGTTTTTTGTGACAAAGAAGTATCTGTTCCAATCACTCTATCAGAGAAAAATCTGAGTTTTAGAAATAACGGGACACTCAGTAGAGCCATTATATTTTATTTTTTACAAGTGTATGTAAACTTCTGACCACAACTGTATATAAAAGGTGGTAGCTCAGTCTTTTATCTTGGACTTTAAAACATTTTGCATCCTGTAAAAAACAAACACATTTTAGATAAAATAGCCATATAAATATTCAGAATAAGCTTAAACTGCAATAAAATACTTGAAAAGAGGCTCTTAGAGCAAAATGATAAACGTTACTGACAAACTGTTTTCTTTAGAAACTGTTAAACATGCATAATGTTTTTCACCTCTGTTGTAATAATAATGAAATACTGTGAAAACTTCACGTGTAAGCAGAAGCCTAGATGACTGGAGTCTTAGTAGAAAACTCAAACAGAACCTGGTTTCTGGCCAAGTCCCAGTCCAGCTGAGATCAAGTGCTGAAGGGTTTCTAGCTTCTACTAAAGGACAGGTGGACTCTCTGTGGACACGACATGGAGCACCCGTTGGTTCAAAGAACTGTTAACACACTCTAAGGATGCTGGGTTATATTTCCATGGAAACCTGACTAATAGAAGAGAACACAGAAACAATTAGACAACTGATTTGAAATTTTTTGATTGTTGCATCAAAAATCTGAGAAAACCCTTTGGCAACGTGTACAGAACTTGCCAGTTTTGCCTCTTTTTGGTTGGGATGATCCTAAACTTTTAAAAAACTTGGAGCTGTTAAAATGTTCTAATTCAGCTCTGATTTGTTGTTCAATTCAATTTTATTTATATGACAAGAGTCGTCTCAAGGCACTTCACATAATAAACATTCCAATCCAGGTCACTTCATTAAGCTAATCAGAAAAAATGTTTCCTATATAAGGAACCCAGCAAATTGCATCAAGTCACTGACTAGTGTCAGTGACTTCACAGCAATCCTCATACTAAGCAAGCATAAAGCGACAGTGGAGAGGAAAACTCCCTTTTAACAGGAAGAAACCTCCAGAGAATCCTGGCTCAGTATAGACCCTTTTACTACCTACGTCATCAAAAGTTGTGCGTGCAGCCTGGCAACGAGAGTGAAGGCTTCCTCATTCACACTCGATACCAAAACAGCGTTTTAAACCCTTTGCTTTGAAGTTCTGAGCACATAAAAATGTCGGGTTGCGTGTATGGATGCCAGAATCGCTTCTCTTCAAGCAGTGGACTGAAACTTTACAGAATTCCGAAGGGAGCACATCCATTTCAACAAAATCGGAGGCATCTGTGGCTGCAGGCCATCAAAAGGGTTGATGAAAACTGGACTGAAAACACGATCGGAAATGCTCGAGTTTGTAGCGCCCATTTTATATCAGGTAAGGTAATTATGTTGTTCTTCAGTGGAGCTGGTTCTACATTTTTCCTGCTCAGGTCTTTCCATGCACATGCCTGATATGTAACTGCAGCCTTTTCTGTTTTTCCCATCCTAACACAAAGCTCAACTTTGAATAAAATTGCTGCTGCGTGGCTGCAGCATGGCCCAAGTCTGGAACATCAAAATGACAGAATTAAACAAATTTATACGCTTTATTTCATGCTTCAAATTAACATTTCATTCTAATTCATCTGTATTTTCCCATTGCATATTAGTATAAACGGTATTTCTCTAAAATTAACACGATTGCACTCTGAGCACGCTAAAAAAAGAAACCTATGCTATACTCCCCCTGCCATGCAGGTACAGTTGGCTGTGAAGACGTAGTTCTCTGGTTTGTTTACTATGACCCAAGCCTCGTACATAGCAGTCTTGTGTCCTTGTCTTTGGCTAGGAAGGACTTCTACCTTCAAGACGCAAAACTCAGAGTCTATGTTGTGATATTTTACTTTCTGTACGTGGCCACAGAAACATAGTTGTATGCATCTAACGATTTGTATGCCTGTAGCTTCTCACGTGTGTACTTACTGGGCCTCTCCACTAAAAACGTATATATCGGGCCACTGGATATCTGGCCACACACCTACATCTTCCACCCATTCCGTAATGCCACAGGGATCCGGGAGTCTGTTGCCATTCATTAAAGTGAGTTTAGTAATATAACATTCAAGATTTGCTGATGATAACCCCACAGCATAGCTTGATAAAGCCTGACACAACGCCATTCTCTGTTGCCAAGCTGCGCGCGCATTCTCGCTGACGTCATATTGTTTACAAACAGTAAAAGGGCTTATAAGCAGCCATCCTCCACGACTCACTGGGGATCGAGAAGACAGAGCAGACACACACACACACACACACACGCACGCACGCACGCACGCACACACACACACA